AATGAGGCGATATTGTAGAATTATAGAGCACGACTTGGGCTATCAGAATATATAGAAAAACATTTTTCATAAGCCTTCTGTAAAATATTATAGGATCGACGCCACTACTTTTGGTATGCCCTAAGTAAATATTTGAAGATTATCATTCTTTCTTTTCCTCACTAAACTATTTAGTAAAAAGAAAACGCTTCACTTCATTTTTTCTTCTCGTTATCAAAAAAAACCTGTCAAAACTTCTTCTATGTTATTTTAACCTATTTTCAAACTTCTAAAAATGTTTCTATCTCGGCTATTTAAAAAACAAAAATATGCTTTGCCGATAACCGAACTCTCAGTCGAAGAGAAAGATAAACGAAAAGCACGACGTTTCAACTGGACCAATGTCGCCTTAGGGGCTTTAATTCCTCTCTCAATTGGTATTGGAACAGTCGTCATCACTCTTCTTCAGCAGAAATTTGACGATCGTCGTCAAAAACAGGAACGAGAACTGGACGATCGTCGGTACAACGCTGAACGACAAGAAGATAATCGACGTTATAACCTGGAACAAGACCAAGCACACGATCTCTATCACCAAGGGCTGTATAAGTCGACGGTCGAAGACATCTCAAGTACACTTCTCAAAGCAAACCACTCATTCCTCGATGATGAAAAACAACTTGGCTACGCTCGTAGTAAGATTCTGGTTGCCTTAGACGAGCTGGACTACACAAGGAAAACCCGTCTCTTTACATTTCTCAACGAAAATCAACTCCTGCCTGAAACAAGCCAAGGCTGGTTTTCACTCGATTTATCTGGAGCCAACTTTGCTAATATATCAATCAAGAGTACACTCTACAGACAAATAACTTTCAATGATTTGTTAATGCGTTCAGTCCACCTAACAAATTCTTCATTTATTGGGTGCGCTTTTGATGGGGTAACTGAGCTTAAAGAGTCTCTACTGACAGGTGTGAACTTCTCCTATTCAGAATTTGGTAATTATATTGAGGATGATGATGAAACAGTCTTCCCCTACTCGAACTTGAAAGCAGCTGATTTTAGCCGTTCTTCGCTAGTGAGAGTTTATTTTTTTAGAGTCAACCTAGCGACTGGTTATGTGGCAAAAGCATGATGTACGGACGAAAGAATTCGTGTTACAGATACGTGTGCATGCATGTGACTGTAGCAATATGGTAAGATGGTCGCTTGACCAACAGTTATGTCTTATATGCCAC